AAAAAGATGCAATATCTTGCCAGTTGTGATGTGGATGGAACTGGGGGAGGTTATGCCAAGTGAAGTCAGTCAGAAGGAGAAAGAAAAATACCAGGTGATTTTCACTTATATTGGGAATATAAAGAAACAAAACAAAGGAACAGACAAAACCAAAGCAAAACAAACCATAAAGATATGACTGCAGAACTGAGGCTACTAGGGGGTGTAGGGCGCAAAGGCAGAGGGGGCTCAAAGGACTATGGTAAGGCATTATTGGTACTTTGCTGGCAGATGTGGTGTGGTCACATACATCTGAGGAGTGTGACCCTATACCCCTAAATCATGTACAGGTTGTAAACCAATGTTACCTCAAAAAAAAAAAAGTCACATGCACTTCTGGTAGGAGTGCAAGCTGGTCCAACCACTATGGAAAGCTCTGTGGAGATTCCCCAACCTGCTAAAGATGGAGCTTCCATATGACCCAGCAATTCCACTCCTAGGTTTTTACCCAAAGGACACAGAAACATTAATTTAAAATGGCACCTGCACCTCTATGTTTACAACAGCACTATTTACAATAGCTAAGCTATGGAAACAACCCAAATGCCCAAAAATAGATGACTGGATCAAGAAGATGTGGTCCATATACACCATGGAATATTACTCAGCAATCAAAAAAGATAAACTCATGCAATTTGCAGCAACATGGATGGAGCTGGAAGCGATCATGTTCAGCGAAATAAGCCAGAAAGAAAAAAACACCGGATGGTCTCACTCATAGCAGGAATTTAGAAACCTAAATAAGGGACCAGGAAAAAGACTAATTATAATAAAGTAAAAATCAAAATCAACAATCAACTATAAATCAGAGACACACTATGGGGGGGAGGGGAGCAGGGATTAGGGTCAAAATAAGGGGGGTGGGAATTGTATGGGGACTATAACCAAGATGAAAATGCATACATTGTGCAAAAAATGAAAAATGATGTAAAAAATATATAAAATAAAAAAGTCATAGCAAAAAACTATAAAAATGAAGGTCTTTAATATCCCCTCTCAACACACAGAGCATAACAGACAGTAATATCTAATTAACAAAATCCATAATAATGAAACTTATGAGTAGATGTCTTATGTGGCATTTCCCCTAGTAGACCCTTGCGACAAGGATCCGTTAACAAGTAGCTTGTTCAGGACGTGACAGGAAGAAACACAGACAGGAGAGTGAGGAGCTGTGGCAGGCAAGGGAGAGAATCTAATATGGAAAAGTTACTGAGCAAGTTGCTGCCAGAGGCAGATGTGCTCATGGCCCTAGGGGAGGCTCAGAGCCTGAAGTAGCAGGATTATCCTTTCCCGACAAGGAACCTTGAGTGTTTATGTACCAACTGCTGCTCCTCCCTGTGTGAGGGCTGCTCCTGTGGGCATGGACTCCACAGCACTTCTGTCCTGCCATGGTTAGACCAAGCTTACCCCTGGAGAAAAAGAAAACTCTCGGGCAGAGAACACAAGAACTATCTTCACATGACCCCAGGGTAGGTTAGCAGTATATGGACAGATGCCTGCAAGACATTTTTAAATAAATTTGTATTTTCTTAATCACATGAGCATCTACGTACTTATAAAGGTCACTATCTATTGTGAGGCATTAGTGAGCAGTCAAAGCTCAGTGAACATAGGGATTTGCAGGCCACTTGCCATACCTCTCAAACTGTCCTCTGCCTTGCTGGCCACACATTCTATCAGTCCATCCCCCAAAGATTAGGCCATTGTCAAATATAACTTGAGAAGCAAATGTTATAAGAAAGTGACGATACTTTTCATATTTTGTACTTCCATCTTTGGAGGATACCTTTGTTCCTGCAACCATTTTTGCAACCAATCTCTGGCTCAGAGGAAGTAAAATAAGATGTGACACCTTTATGGGAACAGCCCCTGCTACCAAGACTCCTGCAGTTTACCTTGTTCCTTTACACCCTCACTACTCCTTGGGTGAAGCTGGCCATTTGACAAGCAGTGAGGTGGTCCCTGGGGGTAACTGAGAACTCTCTACAAGAGTCACAGTTTCTGGCCATATGTGACAGAAGAATCATTTGAACTTCCAGAATAAAGAATGCAACTGATATATTGGATGTTTTGCCCACATGTGCACCATCTTAAAACAACTATCAGGAAAGCATTAAGGACCAATGATGATCCCCATTGCTTCTTAGTCTCTTGGTGGTAAATAAATGTTTAAAGCAATACCAAAAATGACCTGCTCTATCACCCCTAACCCCCAATCCGACACTCAAAAAAGGAAGTGGGCAATTGTGGGCCACATTTAAGTTGATTTGGCTAATCCAAAAGGTACATAATTCCACTAAGGAATTATTTGAGATGAATTACATACAATTGAGAGAAGAGGAGAGGACCTCCTCTCAACCCTGACAATGTGCTATTTATCTTTACTGTTAAACTAGGACTAGGCCACCTCCATATATGGAAATATCACCTATAAAAGTGCAGTAATGAAGTCAAGAGCAACACACAAAGGTGGTGTTCTTCCCAACTCGTGAGAGCAGTGATGAGCAACCTCAACCCCCTCATCCCACCCATGGTGAAAGACTTGGCTGCCTGCTGAGAAGTTTTATTCCATTTCCAACTGTCACCCTTTGGAACTGCATTTTTTTTTTTTTACTTAAACTCCTTTCCTAGCAGAAACTGAGTAAAGAGAGACTGATCTATGTTGCTGACTAGGAGAAATTTGGCCTTGCCAAAGGATCAAACTGTCCCAAGGGAGCTTGGTATGTGGGGGACTGTGCTGCTATACAATCACAATAGCTATGTGCTGCTGTGTCTCACATTACCGAAAGCTGAGAGGCCTCAAGAAATTCTACGACTCAGTGTTCTATTTATATCCCATTTTATTGGAGATGTGACTGAGGTCACCAGAGATATAGATGAAAGTTAGATCTGACTTTAATCTACTTTCCGTATCATCTTCACAAGTAATTTACATTCTGGATTTCAGTTCCCTCATCTGGTAAGGACTCATCAAATCTTTCCCTGGTTATTTGGTGACAGAACTAGGTGGTCACCTACATTAATGAGTGCTCACTGTGGCCCAGCTCCTATATCCTGGGCTTCCTGGACAGCTTTGCCAGGAACTTTGCTCAGAGGTATTTCATGTCTGTATTTCAGAGTTGAAGCCATTTTCCCTTCTCCACAGATCTCTCAAATAGGCAGTACCAAAAATGATCTGCTCTATCACCCCTAGCACCCACTCCTACACTCAAAAATGGAGGTGGGAAATTGTGGGCCACATATACGTTGATTTCCTGAGATCACTTGTGTAGATTCTTTCTGCAATTTTTTCCAAAGTGAAGACTTGCTCAGGAAAATATCTGGTAAATGCCTGGCATACTGTATGGTGCAAGAAACACTAATAGATGTTGGGCTCCCTCTATGAACCTCATAGCCCTATAGGGAAGAGGAAATGCTATTATCCCTTGTACATCTGACATCTGATTAGCATGCCCCCCCCCATTCTGGACTTGCATCCTCCTTTTAAAAGGCACTGCATCAAAACACATACTGCAATTATGTGGTTCCAGTGGGCACCCCTCTGTTCCTATGGGACCGCCAGCTCCCTCACCCCCAGCTCATTTGACAAGGGTCAGGAGTGAATCCTGCCCCTGTGTCTTCTGTAATTGCTTTAAGGTTAGGTACCTAACAGCCCACCAGAATTTCCTCCCAACACTGAGGGAAATTGAAAACTTACTCCTTGTTTTTCTTGTGTCCTTGATGTAATTTTCATCCCACTCTCGAAGAGGGAAAAGGACTAATATATATTGATGTTGAATTTAGCAAAAGAAATAGAGCATGGTGATTGACCTGTACCTAGACTTTTCTTCTTTCGGCTCTGCATTTCCACCAAGGAAATGCTATAAGCTTATAGGGGCCCCATGACTATAACCTGTAAATGTCTAGAATGGCCATTGACTTGGTAATTACTTGGGTAGGCTAATGCCCTTACAAACATTCTTAGCCTTAATGGTTTAACAGTAATCTTTACTTTTTTGTTTTGTACAAGATCCAGGACACCTTGGTGCTGCTTCGTAAGGGGCCTGGGGGTGGGAATACTTGCCTTATTCCACAGTGATATTTGACTCCCTTTAATCTCCAAAAACTATATCCCAAAGGCAACAATTTACATGAAGGGAACCCCTATTATAGGTGGTTTAAGTCAACTGTAGACCTGCACAACAGAGAGGAAACAAAGCAGGCCACATCTACCAAAAGGGATAAACAGCAGTCTTCCAGTGTCAAAGAAATGCTATGCTTTTGGCATTTGGGATGGTCTCTATCCTACCCACAAGTGCCATACCATGTATCCCAAAGAGTCCTCCTCCCTAATTGTCACACACTGCCCTTCCCTTCAGAAGAACAGCCTATTAGTGAATGGACATCACAACTGTGTATCAAAAGCATGCTAATTACCCAAGCTAATCCAGGAGTCCTTCATTAGTAAAAAAAGAACGTGCAGAGTTTTAACAATTCCAGGAAAGTGAAAGAGAAGATCATGTTGAAGAAACAAATATTTTGGGGTGGGGAGTGATGTAATACAGTAAACAAAAGAGAAATGGACCAAAAAATCAAAATTTATATTCTCAGAATTTTAAGGACAACAGCAGGCTTAATAAATGAAAGCAGGATGCATAAAAAGGAGAAATTAGAGAGCAGGACAAAGCCATTGGAAAATGGAAATGTCATTACAAAATGTAAACCATAGCAGATGCCAGGCACACAGAGCAACCACAGTGCCCCACCCTGGCTCTGTGGGATGGTGGGACAATGGGCCTGATGCCCACCCCCTCCCATTCTCCTGCCCACTCACCCCACTTACATCACGTGAGGGATCCCTGACCCCACCACGTACCGGAAGCCCCCACACGTACATACGTCACTTCCGCTCCCATCCGGAAGCCCTCCAGCACGCCTCAGCAGCCTTCTGTGCGCGGCCAGCACCAACTAACCGCCAGAACCGCTCGTGCGCGGCCTTCATCACCACCTTCATGGCCGCGGCCCCAGACCCGGGGGCCCTGCAGGGCCACGCGTGCGCCAGAACTACCAGCCCCAGTGCGAGGCCGCCATCAACCTGCACATCAACGTGGAGCTGCACACCTCGTACTCGTTCCTGTCCATGGCCTTCTACTTCAGCCGCGACGACGTGGCCTTGAAGCATTTCGCCCAGTACTTCCGGCAGCAGGCCCGCGAGGCCAAGCGGCGCGCCAAGAAGCTGATGCACCTGCAGAGCCTGCGCGGGGCGCGCCTCCGCTTCCGCGACATCAGGAAGCCCGAGCACGACAACTGGGAGAGCAGCCTCCTGGCCTTCGAGTGCGCCCTGCGCCTCAAGAAGCGCGTCAACCAGAGCCTGCTCGACCTGCACCAGATGGCCACCTACTTCAGGGACGCCGAGCTCTGCGACTTCCTGCACACCCACTACCTGCGCGAGCAAGTCGACTCCATCAAAGAGCTGGGGGACCATCTCACCAACCTGCGCGACATCGGGGCCCCCGAAGACGGCCTGGCAGAGTACCTCTTTGACAAGCTCACCCTGGGTGAAAGCTCCATGGACTTAGACTGAACTGTCTTGCCCATGGCAGGGGGGGCGCGGTGCCTTCCCCTCCTCACCCAGTTTGCATTCACATGGCAGTACTGCCTTTGCAATACATTCGTTTCAGTGGTTTCTTCCCAGTTTTACAGTTTCTTTCAGTAATTTCCAGTTTTACCCTTTCTTTCAGTAGTTTCTTCCAGTTCTACCGTTTCTTTCTGTAAAGTTATTGATTGCAACAACAACAACAAAAAGGTCTGGTTTATTCGCGTGCATAAAACCCTCAATTTTTAAGTTTTAAACAGGTATCCGGAAGTCTCTCCACCTGCCCATGGCCCATCCTCTTGCAGCTCGGGGTCTCCAGGGATGGAGGGAGAAGGTATCCCATGGGACCCTAGATCACAAAATCTATCTTCCCATTATAAACATGTGGGTGGAAGGGGGATGGTCTGGAGCACTGGTGAATAATAAAAGTAGAAGAAAATGACCTGAAAATCAGAATTGCAGTTGCCTCTGGAGAAAATATAAAGGGAATGAATGGGTGAATGGGATTGGGCAGGAGTTAACATAAAGGACTCTTAAAACATACCTGAATAATTTCAGTTTACTAACAGATGCAGACCAGTTAACATTTGTTGATTGTGAATTGCAAGAAGGAGACCTCAGAAACCTGCTTGACAGAGCACCTCCATGACAAGCTTGCCCTGGGCAACAGTAGTAATGGTAAATGACCCTTAGGCTGCCTCCCCCACAGTCACGGGGGTGACTTCCTTAGGTCACCTTGCCACACATGCATGTTGCACCATACAAAAGATCCAAAGATAGTTTTTCCCTTCAATTGTACCAATTCTTCCATGAAGGTAACATGATACCCAAATTACTTCAAGAGAAGGACTGAAAACTATAAGGTCAAGTTTGTGATATTGAATATAAAGTAGAATAAATTGCCATGAAGCCAGTGACTTCCCCTTTCAAGATGTGGAAAGGAGTTAGATTACTTTGCCTTCATGGTTTTAGGTAGAGAAATAATTTCCCATTCAAAAGATTTCTTAAGGAAATAGTGAGTCTGTTTTTATTTTATGTTCCCCTTTAAAATTTTAGTCTTTCTCTCAGTCCAGTTTCCACTTGATCTTGTGACATTTTTCAAAGAACTGAAAAAAAAAAAAAAAAAACATTGAATTTTCTGTGGAGCCACAAAAGGCCTCAAACTGCAAAAGCAACCTGGACCAAAAAGAGAAATGGAGGTATTGCATTACCTGACTTCAAGTGACTCTAAAGCAACAGTATGAAAAACAACCTGGTACTGACACAAAAATAGACACATGGATCAATGCAATAGAATCAACAGGCCAGAAATAAGGTCACGTATATACCTACACCTAACTTATGATAAAGCTGCTATGACCACAAAATGGGGAAAAGAGAGTCTTTAATAAATGTCTCTGGGACACAGAGACCAATGGAACTGAATAGAAAATCCAGAAATAAACCCACAGATTTACAGTCAGCTAATCTTTGACAAAGAGGCAAAGAATATGCAATGGAGCAAAGAAAGTTTGTTCAATAAATGGTGCTGGGAAAACTGGGTCACTAAAAGAAGAAATAGAATGCAAAAGAATGAAGCTTGACTACTACCTCACACCATACACAAAAACCAATTCAAAATGGATGAAAGAACTAGACATAAAACCTGAAACCATAAATATATAGAAGGAAATACAGGCAAAAAACTACAGGACATACACCTCAGCAACATCTTTAAAGACTCATCACCTAAAGCAGTGATAGCAAAAGCAAAGATAAACAGCTGGGACTACATCAAATTAAAGAGCTTCTGCACAGCAAAAGAGACAGTAACCAAAACAAAGAGACACCCCACCAACTGGGAGAAATTTTTTGCACACAACACTAATGATAAAGGACTGATCACAAAAATCTACAAAGAGCTGATGAGACGCAACAAAAACAAAGTAAATAATCCAGTCAAAAAATGAGCAGAAGAGTTAAAAAGGTACTTCTCCAAAGAGGAAATGCGAATGGCCAACAGGTATATGAAAAAAATGTTCAGCATCACTTGTAATCAGGGAAATGCAAATCAAAACTACCATGAGATACCATCTTACACCAGTGAGAATGGCACATATTAAAAAAACTAGCAACAACAAATGTTGGCGAGGATGTGGAGAAAAAGGAACTCTCCTGCACTGCTGATGGAAGTGAAAAATGGTCCAACCACTATGGAGAGCTGTGTGGAGATTCCTCAACCTGCTGAAGATGGAGCTTCCATATAATCCAGCAATTCCACTCCTAGGTATTTACCCAAAGTACACAGAAACATTAATTCCAAAGAGCACCTGCACACCGATGTTTATAGCAGCACTATTCACAATAGCTAAGCTATGGAAATAATCAAAATGCCCAAAAATACATGACTGGATCAAGAAAATGTGGTACATATACACAATAGAATATCACTCAGCAATCCAAAAAGATAAACTCATGCAATTTGCAGCAATATGGAAGGAGCAGGAAGGGTTCATGTTCAGTGAAATAAGCCAGAAAGAAAAAGAAAAATACTGAATGGTCTCACTCATAGCAGGAATTTAGAAAACCTAAATAAGGGACCAGGAAAAAGACTAATTATAATAAAGTAAAAATCAAAATCAACAAGTGGCTGTAAACCAAAGACACACGGGGTGGGGGGGAAGGGAGGAGAGGAGGGATTAGGGTCAAAATGAGGGGGGTGGGAATTGTACGGGGATTATAGCCAAGATGAAAATGCATACATTGTGCAAAGGTGAAAAATGATGTAAAAAATATATAAAATAAAGAAAAAACCCTAAATAAATGTTTCTGGGAAAATGAAACATTTTATATTATAAACATTTTATATTATAAATATATTATATTATATTATAATATAAACATTTTATATTCATATTAAAGAATGAAGGTAGATTACTCACTAACACCATACACAAAAATAAACTATGTGGATTAAGATTTAGATTTAAAGCCTACAAGATACAAAAAAACCTCATAATTCAACAATAAAAAAAATACAATACAATTAATAGCTGGGCAGTAGATATGAACAGACAATTCACCAAAGAGGCTCTCCGGAAGGCCAACAGACATGAAAAAATTTTCATCATCACTTCTAATAAGATACAGATTAAAACTAATGAGATATCAGCTCATATTGTGAAAATGGCACATATTAAAAAAAAAACTCAACAGTGCCTCCCTGGTGGCGCAGCAGGTTGAGCGCAGTGCTGTGAAGCTGTCCACAACCTCTGCAGCATGGGTTCGATCCTGGCTGGCCAGCAAGAATCCCACATGGTGCCGCAGACCTCTCCTTCCCGCCCGCTGCTCCCCTCAGCAGTGTATTTCGTCAGTCTGCCTGTTCTGTTCCCCACTCTGTGTCTGGTGAATTCTCTACCCCTCCCACATATCTGGCCTGTACCCCGGTTCTTGAATAAATAAATCTTTAAAAAAAAATTAGGATTATGCCCCACTGCCTTTATTACTTATCTCAGTCAAACTTGATATTTTCACTACCTCTTTGTCTTCCTCCTTGGAGGTAATCTGGTCTTTTCTGACATTGTACCAGATTATGTGTGTATGTATATATGTATATGTGTGTGTGTGTGTGTGTGTGTGTGTGTACTATTCCCTTCTGGTTATAAGGAAGCACTGGGCAAGTACTTATAAATAAGTTCTGTAATTGTGTCAATTGACTAAGGTGGCCTCCTTTTGTCCTGTTTTGGAACAGGACAGTTTGGGGTAGTAGCTTCTTTACTGCAGGATGCCTGGGAAAGATTCAAGCTTAGCCACTTACTCAATTGGGTGAATCTGGAAATGTTGTTTAATCTCTGTGCCTCGGTTTCCTCAAATAAGGATAACAAGAAAGCATCAACCTACTGGGTTGCTGACAAAATTCAATGTGTTAATATTTTTAAATGCTTACAATAGTACCTTATGTGTAAAACCATCATATATCATCACTATTATCCACTACTTCTAACTTCCTTTGTGTTTATGCATTGGGATAAGATTTCACACCTTTATTTTGCCACTGGAGGGCTCTCTTGCATTTCGACCAACTGCAGACTGAAAAGGGAAATATTCTTCCTAGCTGCTTGGCTGTCAGGTGATGTCAGGATTCAGGAGGGTAAGCTGCTATTTTCACTGCTCCAAACTCAGGCCCAAGACTGAAGGTGAATTTTGCTGTGACAACACTCCAGGTTAGATGCCTCAATTAGATGCCCCTTTAAATCACCTCCTAGAACACTGTTTACCTATCCTACCTATTCTGCCCAAAGGCAGCTTGCGGGGAGTCTCCTTTTTCTGTCCTGAATGACCTCCCACTTCTCGGAGGCAGACAAGAACAAAAGGAATGAAGTAATAATCCTCACCCTCACCATCATCCAGATGTTTGGATCTGAGAACAAAAAAATGGATGATTTGGAAGGGCAGGATGAACAAAAGGCAACTGATAACACAATAAGCAAAACTGATCCATCTCCATGCATTTTAGCACAGAGGTTGCAAAGTTTTGCTGCAGATTAGAAACACCAGCAGAGTTAGAAATGTCAATGCCCAGGGCACATACCAGACCAATTATCAACACATCTGTCTCTGAGACAGGACCTAGGTGAGACAGGCAGTAAAACCTCTGCCACACCTTGCTTCTCAAAATGTTCCCAGAAGGCAGGATCAGTGTCATCTGAGAGTTTGTTGGGAAAGTAACAACCCCAGACCAGCTAAATCAGAATCCACATTTTAACAAGATCCTAGGTGATGAATATGCACTGTGGATCTTGAGAGCATTCGCTTTAGCATCTTAGAATCACCTGGGGAGCTGGGACATAATATTCACGCCTCCATTTGAACTCACTCATACCCTCATATAAGGACTCGACCAAATGCACTAAAAACTTATCACCTCTTCAACAATAATTATTGAACCAAGAATTACTAATTACACACACACATTTTTACCTATACTACCTTTTACTCATTCTTTATCTATAGAGAGAGATATCTATGTCTCTCTCTCTTGCTTTACACACACACACACACACACACACACACACACACACACACACACACACACAGAGGGGGGTCAGGGAAGGGGGAAGGAGAGATGGGGAGAGAGAGAATGAGAGAGGTGGAGAAGGGATATGAATTAGAATGGGTTGGCAATCTCCAGCCTGCTAGCTAAGTAGGGCCCCCATTTGGTTTGTTTGTTGTTTTTTTTTTAATTTTTTTTAGATTTATTTATTTATTTGTTTGTTTATTTATACAAGCACTGGGTACAGTCAGACGTGCAGGAGGGTGAGAGAATTCACCAGAGCAGGACACAGAACAGGCAGACTGACGAAATATACTGCTGAGGGGAGCAGCGGATGGGG